AGGCCACGTTGTATATGAGCCCGAGAGTCCTAAGAGAAGCAGATGGATTCGGGAAGCCAGTTCGAACGAAGCATATTTATTACCTTGTTTTGAGGCGATCAAATAAGTTCAGATCTGAAGCGGAACCCAATGCTTGGGTGTATCAGCAGGTACGTAGTGTAATAGCGTTTTCAATGGTTTGTGCAGTAATACCGTTTTCAATGGTTTGTACAGAGCGAGTATGTGTTCAAAAGAATAGATATTTGTTATTGCGATAAACAAAACAACTTTAACTGATGATTTATCAACAACCGAGATACTATTACTAATTACATGAAATGTGTATTCGTATGTTGAGAACAACCGTGAAACAATAAGAAAACCAAGTCAATCCAGAGACATTTAGTGAGGTTGATAAGCTGTTCTGAGTGATCCCCACTAGCACAAATAATACATTTACGTTTCGTCTGAGTACAGTCAGATTTCCCAATTATTACATATTAAACTACTTTATATTAGATTTTATGTCGCTGCACGTGTGTAAAATTTGTCATTAGCGTGTATGAATAAATTAAAATAACTATACGTTGTTGATGAATATCAGAAATAATGTAGCTCCGAGGATCCCGCCTTGAGGAATTTCAAAATAAATAAGATAAATTTTAATGCTTTAGTCTGAAGCAATCTCAAAATATGCACTAAATAGTTCTATAATACAGTATTGCATCATCCATTTCAAAACACTACAAATTCAAAAGCAATTTCATGTAGTTTCCAATAAGAGATCCAGAGTTTACTAAAGGCTGGTAATAAGGATATTTACACCGTGTTTAAAAAGAGAGACAATGCCGGGAAAAGAAAATTTGTATAAACGTCTCCTGTATAATAGCATTTATTAATTGTGTTTTTACAAACACATCTATTACAATTTAATATTTTTGACGAGAAAATGATGAGTAGTGTACTCTTCTCTATTCTATTACTAAAGATACGAGGGTGATTTTTCTCTGTATTGCATATCAGAATATTCTACTCTATGTCGCCACCCAGCTGTATCTGACAATGCGTAACTTCACTACTATCATTAACTTTGCTGTTGCCAAGACAGAAGTTCTGTAAATTGCTTTACCTTAGCGTTTTCCAACCCGAGTCCGCGGTCTCAAATGAGTCCGCGAAGCGTTTAAATGAGTCCGCAACGAGCTAGAAATTCACTGCGGGCTGCAAACGTTTTTACGAAACTTAACTATCAGCCAAGTTACGATTTACGTTAGAATTTACATAAAACCTGAAAGACAAGTTTATTCACATAACATTTTTCGAGTGAATAATTACTGGTTAATGAGTAGGACTGGCCATATATTCGAATATTAAACTATTAGTATAGCAATTTACTATTCGAATATTTGGTAACAGGTGACGAAAACACGAGTCTGCCCACGCTTCGATGAAGTTTGCGAGTTCGAATAACTGGGAATAATTTTTTTTTGGTAGGTGTCAATGGTGGCAACCCAAATTTTCTAAATTGAAAAGCGGCAATACAAAATACTAAAAATAAAACGAATACACCATAAGTTTTGTTTTATGATTGTCCGCGACCGATTAAAAACGCTTTTCTGGACATTGCAAATCGCAAAATTTCGGGTGCTACCGTGGTATACGTACCAGGGCATTTCACAATAATACGTACAGTAGCCTACTGGAGCGCCGTAATTGTTGTACGGACAGCTCAGATTTGTCGAATTTACGAAAATACGAATCAAAACAAAATATTATCGGGCACTTTACCATATTGATATTTTCTGAGTAGTATTGCTTTTATGTCGTCAACACAATTGTAGATTAAAATCATCGCAATTAACCTAATAGTAAAGCAAGGCGATGGATATGTTTTTTTGATCTACTAATGAACTTTAAATATATTTTTAATAAGTGCTAATGCAAGTTGTACTTTCTGGAACTTTACAGCAGAAAGTAGGATTTTTCTAACGGCGATAACAAATTCGCAAGATCGCGAAAAATATGTATCAAAACTAATATAACCGAGCAATATATTCTCACATTATTATGTTCGCAGATTGCCGTGGCATTTTAAAGAAGTAATGCTTTCATCTTGTTGTAGGTCGACGCAACCGCAAGTTACCATGAACACAATAAATTAAAATAGAAATACATTTTAAATTCTCGTCGTTGTCATGGACTGAATATTGTGCGACAGAAACGGCCATTATACACTAAAAAAGTCGTCTCTTTTAACGAACGCGTAACTGAGGCGAATTTCCGATTTTGAAATTTTAATGTTGTGTTTTGATTTATTGCCTCTTCACACAGAGTACGGTTGCAATAAACGCTCCTTGAGCCTGCAAAGGTTTTCGCCGGTGAGAAAACAGTCCGCAACCAAGAAAGGTTGGGAAACGCTGCTTTACCTATTCAAGTCAAGTTTATTTTTTCCAACCAGAAACAAAAAATATCATTTGATCACAAATTACGAGAAAATGATAATTTACAGTTTTACTGGGGGAGGGAAGTCGCGGGGAACCAAAGCTGGTTATCGAGCAGCGAAACTTTCATGCTTATAAAACGTGTGTAACGGTATCTTGATTCAGAAACCTATGACTTTTTGTTCATTTTGGCATGTACAGCCCAACTTTTGTGTGTGAAATTGCTCAACAATGAGATCTGTTGTGAACTTGTATTCCATGTTCTTGAATGTAATCCCTTTTGAGCAGTTTTAATGGAATTGAAGAGTTCAAGCAGACAGCCACTCGAACTGTTGTAACGTCGATACAACTGAATTCACAAGGGTAAGCAATCTGAAAATAGATCATTTAACTTTTGATTTGAGTTGCTCCTATACTTGCTATAGTTGTCCAAAACATTCAGCGTTAGCAATGCTATTTCAACAACTTTTGAAATTGTTTTTTAATTTTCCGCCTGACTGAAATAAATTACTTTACAAAATTTGTTCTCTGTGTAAAGCATGACCGATGTAAATTTTATAGAGTATGAGTGTAGGTATATTTCTGGTTAGTCGATTCACTTGTTTAAACCAGGGGTGTGCAATCATCAATACAGGAGGGCCAGATACAAATAACTGGGTGAAACCGCGGGCGGAATTGGAATTACTCGCACTCTAAATTAAAAACCCAGATTAAATTAAAAACATGTTTTGCGTGCCGCACACTATCCAAAATTTCTCCGCGGGATGCACAATTTTTCTGTGTGGGCCGCAGGTTGCACACCACCCTTGGTTTAAACCAGGGGTGTGCAACCTTTTTCGTGGGCGGGCCAAATATCAATAACCGAGTGAAACCGCGGGCCGCACCGTCATTTAACATAGGCTTTCTATTAGTTGCAGGCACAAAATAGCTCATTTTAGAAATAAATATGTTACCGGAAAGTGCCATATTTGAGGCCATGACTTTTTTAACATGTGGAAAGTTATCTTGGTGTTTTCGGTAAGATTCATTTCCAAATAATTTTCTGTGAAATCTTATTCTAGATTAGATTTAGACCAAATCAATTGATAGGCTGGAACCAAAACTCATTTAGCTTTTGTATCTATATAATATTAAATTTTTTTAAACTGCTTTCCAGTAGCCTAATCTTCAATTGCCCGTTCTTACAAATTCCTTAGCGTATTCTCCGCATTTTCCTTAAATTGTTTACTGCTCAGCAAGGGACAGCTTTTTGAATCGCGTTGTTCGCCTCGCTCTTAGGACGCTGTAAGTCATAGGCATAGATAATAAATTGAACTCGGATATAAGATTTGCAACGCAAAGGAAACCAGATCCAACTAAATTTCAAAACTAGTTTAGATGGCCGCGCACCCTTCAAAACTGGCACTTCTCCGCGGGCCGCACAATTTTCCATTGCGGGCCTCATTTGGCCCGCGGGCCGCACTTTGCACACCCCTGGTTTAAACCATGAGTTCAATTTTTTGATATATTCCTTGCTTCCTCATTTTTTCAACTCTTCAATCCGTTTCACAACGCATACAACTTTAATTGTTGTTCTATGTTTTATTATAAAATGTTGCGATCAAGAATCAGAAGGATGTTGGGCTGCAAGGTAACCGTGTACATATTCTCACAAGGCTCGTAAAGTAACTTTAATGGTGATTTCGTTGAAATAAATCTATCAACTGAAAAAGTTGGGGGCTTGAATTGTTAGCAAAAATGCTACGAAATTACGCATTTTTTTTTCATATATCATGAACAGTATCACAAAAAGCACCGAATTGCTATGGTACTGTGGAGCATATCTGTGCAGTCGGGGAAATTACAATTGACTGTGGATAGAAAAACATTTTGACTCCGATTCTGGGTTGTAAAAAATTTCGACTTCGACTCCAGCTCCGGGAAAATCAAATTTTGATAACAAGTGTTAGCTGCTGTTTATTATCTTACTATCTTTGCATTAACCAACCCGCGAGAATAAGTTATGAGTTGGATATCCTTACTCCGGTAACTATACTTAGATAGTTTCATCAGACCAAAGCCGTTGAGCAGGCCACGGTAGATGCTGGTCACTTTGACTTGATCGGATTTGAAACATGTGCCGGTCTCACTTGCTGCCATGACAGTAGATCAAAACGTTCGCCCTGGCTTCTAATATACTTTTGTCAGTTTTGCTTTTGTCGCATAGAGCTTTTTTCTGTCATTGGGACTCGCTTTGATTGTCATAACCCGTAAACTATCGACATAATCAAGCTAAGGAGTTCATTTTGCAAAATAGAAGCAGTTCTCTCTTTGCATCGAGTGGCAAGCGTTAATGTTACGAATTTCATCCATGCATTGGGTAAAAATATTTTGGCTAGTTACGGTTCATTGCTCAATCATTCAAGGCGAGAACCCTGTAGCAGATTTAGCTAGCCCGACCATCTAAGCATTCTAAGGCGAGACAAATTGGTTTGTTGTCCAGCAGTTCACTGCAAGTTTGCAAATGATTTCATTTGCTGGGGTCGCTTCTGTGAACTCGTACATCTCGCTGAAGGTATTTTAAAGAAAGGTATTTTAAAGGTATAGGTAAATGTGGAGAAACGTGGTAATGCGAAAGTAGTCGCGACGTTTCTCAGCGGTGGTGCAATAAGTTAATAAGTAAACTTATATAAATATTATTATATTCGCTAGATTTTGAGTGGACAGGCCTGGAAGTTGTTTGTCTGGTTGACTGCTTTACAGGTTTGGTGAAAATGGCTTGCAAAACTATCAAGTTGAATACAGGGGCTGCCATGCCCACTATAGGCTTGGGAACTTGGAAATCTAAGCCTGGTGAAGTTAAAGCTGCGGTCGAAACTGCTATTGATGCGGGATATCGACACATTGACTGTTCTATTGTTTATAGAAACGAGGCTGAAATTGGCGAGGCTATCCAGAGCAAAATCCAGGAAGGCGTTATTCGAAGGGAAGACCTTTTTATTACCTCGAAATTATTCGTTACATTTCACAGACGAGTGAGAGATTGTATTGAAAGAAGTCTTCGTTCATTAAAACTAGAATGCGTTGATTTATATTTGATTCATTGGCCGATGGGTTTTCACTTCAATCCTGGAGATGTCCTTGAAATGACGAAAGACGGTAAACCCTATATGGACGAGGAAATCCACTACGTGGATGTTTGGAAAGAAATGGAAAAATTGCAAAAAGAGGGTTTGACAAAAGCAATCGGAGTTTCAAATTTTAACAAGCATCAAGTTGCCGAAATTCTGCAGAGTTGTGCAATACCACCAGCAGTCAATCAATATGAAAGCCACGCCTATCTTCAACAAGACGACTTGCTGAAATTCTGCCAATCGAATGCAATCGTTGTGACGGCATACAGCCCGCTCGGATCTGCCGATAGGCCTTGGGCGAAACCAGATGATCCAAAGCAGGGTTGCCATATTGGCTTTTTTAACGCCAAATTTGCCATTTTTGGCTTTTTTCAAACACGTTTGGCGTCAGAATTTCCGTTTGGCTTTTTGGCGTTTTTTTTTGGCTTTTTTCAAGTCTATTCTAGTGTCTATTATTAAAATCATATGAAATACAATATTTAGTGTGTAATAACTGAACAATACCCTATTACCTGTACTTAGCTACTTAACATTAGGATTTCCTGGAGCATCGATTTCCTTGTTTGTTACATCAACTCTTAAACATACCCAATAAGAAATGATTGCAGTTTCTGCAGCTGCTCAGACAGATGTTCAAGCAGGGTTGTAAACATTGCCTCGTTTTTATAGTTTTGCGTGGTATTTGTCTGTTTTACGTTCTGTTTCCGAAAAAATAGTTGTATTAACTTAATTTTCATTATGCCTGATATGGTTTATGTGAGATTTAGTTTAATTCTGCAATTGCAGTAACGATGTGATTAACGACGCTAAAATTACTGAATTAGATATCAGTGGTCCACCTGTGAGCGGCAAGATGGGGTTAGATAATTTTTCAATAAAATTGATGGTTTATAAATTTTAAAAGTGAAAAATTTTTCAATAGTAAAGTAAGATAACGGGAGAATTTTTTAAGGTCACAAGTTTAAGTAGAAACATGTAGGTATATACATTCTGACAGACTGAAGCAGCACCCTGTATTGTATATATTGAATGGTGAAATAATGCTGTCCGCTTGTTATTCATTTTACTTTCTACAGTTCTATTGGAACTTTACTTTCTATTTGTGTGCCTCACTGAATGAACTGATGGCTCTACATCATCATCAGTACGTTGCCAATGGCTTAAAATCTGACAAATCATGGGGCTTTTGTACTTAGTAAAATTGTTGGCTTTTTCTGGCTTTTTTTATGTCTTGATTTGGCTTTTTTGATCGCTGGGGTCTGGCAACCCTGATCCAAAGCCACTCGAGGATGCCATTATCAAAGAGATTGCTGAAAAGCATAACAAAACAGCCGCTCAAGTTTTACTCCGGTATCAAATTCAACGTGGCATGGTTGTTATCCCAAAAAGTGTGACTCAATCCCGAATTCAAAGTAATTTTCTCGTTTTTGATTTTGAACTGAACGAGGATGAGGTGTCACTCATAAGAAAGCCAGATCGGAATTGGCGTGCGTTGAAAAACGAGTGGTTATATGGTCATAAGCACCACCCTTTCAACGAAAACAATTGTGAATAAAATCAAATGGATGAATGTGCAAGATGCACCTTTGTAAATGTTGAGAATTTTCTAAAACTGCCATTAAGAGTCTTGCATAATATTCGAGGCTTCATTATGATGATCTTTCAATATTACCGATTTTGTACAGCTTAATAAACAAACTTCTTTATTACTCTTTTAAATTCGAAATCTAGTTAAGTTTGAGGACGGTCAATTTTGGTGCAAGTTTCGAATATAATTAGCTATGTTTATAAATGCTAAAAAACATATGCTCAACCGGAGGTATTTATGCCCGAGCATATCTTTATATCTATGATTAATTCAACGAAATATACGTCCGTCTCAGGCATTCGTTGCAATAAATATACAGTAAACTGCATAAAATAAAAATCGGTAAATGTCTGTGGTATAAGAACAAGACGAACCCAACAAAAACGCATTGCGCCAAGACTGAAGAAAAGGTATAGTAAATAATGGTTGATACGGAACTTGAAACAATTCAAATCCCACTGACACGGAAACAACTAGCACTAGCTGATCATTCCACAACGCGGATACTGTTCGCAATTATCATTTCATAGCGTATGCTGTTAGCATATCGTTGGCAATGTTACGCTAGGAAAAAACCAATGTTGTATCAGGACTATCAAACTGAAACAGCTTCGACATTTTGATTCGTTTGCTTCTCATTACTCTTATACCTATTAAATATTATCGCTCGGCTTGGAATACAAATTTTTCAAGGCAAGATTATTCTACTCTCGCCAAATAGTTCTTTATCTTACAAGAGATCATGCGCCGATGCAAAGTGTTTTTATTGGTAAATAGTAGAAAGCGTAAGTGGAAATGTGTATCCTCCACGTCAGCGGTCCCCTGACGGTTACAAAGATTGAGAATTGCTTGTGTTGTACCATGTCTGGAAGTATTCTTCTTAACGGAAACAAAAGGAAGCATTGACTTGAATTTGGACAAATTATATGCCATTTACTCTTTCATTTAGTATAAATTATATATGTATAAAAAGTAGGCTATACAACTTTTCGAAATGAGCGAACGATAATCGAGGAAAGCCATATGAGTGGTAAACTGTCGTATTTAAAATTATAACACATGAATGAGACTGGCTCGAAACTGTTGAATACTTGATACAGCAAAGTGCAACATAGGTAACTCTGCGCACGAAATTTCATGCCCATGGTGACTTTATGCGTGATATTGTGCATCCCAACTCGGGATCTACCAGGAAAGATCAGTGGGCACGGAAGAGAGCTCCGCCGATATTCTTTTGCAATAGTAATATGAGACGCCATGTTGTTGAAATTTTACAGAATTAACCGAACTAATGCTGCATGTGGCGTGTGTCTACTTTTTGAGCAAGAGCAACCATTTCCAGAGATTTTTTGGAACTTTCGCAAACATAGAGAATACAATATATTCAGCAAACAAATTAATTGTTTCGCACACGGCCGTCGGTAAATAACAAGAAGCCCTGCGACCGTAGACAGAAAATAGCAGTGCGGTGGAACGCTTATTCTCAACTCTTGGCACGATCGAATCATAGAAAATTTGATATGTCCCGACCTAAATGACAGGTATGTGGCTGTTACTGACTGCAGGGTTTGACGATCATTATATGAAATTGATGAAAATTCAGTTCAGTCATTATTTTTTCAATTGTATCCCGTAGCGTGAGACCCATTATAAGACTGTTATTATTTGGCGAACCACTACTTTTCGGCCGGTTACCAGCCCACGTCGAGAAAGGGAATACTTAACCAATGATAGCATCACCATATTCAGGCTGTGAAATTGAATATCCTTCAACTTCTCTCTTCAGCACTACGCAGGACATCTAAAACTTTTAATCAGTGGCGTATCTAGGGTGTTGCAGCCGGACAGGGGCGCAAAAACGACAAAGTTTTAATCGTAAAATGTTTCAATAAAATAAATTCAAATTGGAAACAACTCAATCTCTCATATTTACTTAAATGATAACGTATAAGTATCTCATTTCAACAACAGTTATTATACATAATACATTGTCAGCTAACTATCAAGGGGGGCGCATTTTTTAAGCTTTGCCATGGGCACAATTTTACGTAGATACGCCACTGTTTTTAATTTTGATTGATGAAAATCCAGTAAAGCTATTTTTTCAGTTGGATTGGAAGGTTATTTCATATTTTTCCGTAGTGGAGGAAATCCGATAAGACCGCTTATTATTTGGCTAATCACTATATTTCAGCAAGTTACAAGCCTATGCGGAGTATCGGAATATTTAACCAATTTTATGTTTCTGACGCATGAACTTGGCACCGCCATATTCAGGCTATGAAATTAAATATCCTCAACTTTACTCTCCAGCACTACATGGGATATCTTAAAATTTTAATTCAAAAATATTTGCAATAAAAAAAATTCATGAGCACGACGAGAAAATTTTAAATTAAATGTGTGGACAGTCAAACACAACCTGTCAAAAATGACAGCAGTAACCTACGAACAAGTGGATTTCAAGCGAGGTTCCGCGGCACCATAGAGTTCGGCCAACCAGCGTAAAAGTTACATTTTATTTACAGTGTTTCCAGAACAAACGGTGAAAACAATAAGCCTCGCGCCAACACTAGATTTAATCCGCAATCTCAACAAATTTTTTGAGTTTTCAGAATTTGGTTGTGACAGCATCAGGCGGGCCAAATCGAAGTACCCGGGCTGTAGCTTGCCTATGTCAGGTCTATACTAATATATGCATATTGTTCAAATATAATCAAATGCCTATCAAGGTTGCCATTATTGTTAAACTGCCACTACTTTTAAGGAAAATTTTGTTTTGCAAGTATTGGGTTCGCTTCTGTATATATTTATAGCTTAGTTTAATAATAATACAGACAATTGAACTATTGCAAAAGGGTTTCCCTTCACCACAAAGGTTGAAAACCCCTTGCATAGACTATAATTAGGCTGCTTGATCTTCTAATTCAAAATAATTATGCCTCCTAAATATTACAAGTATTAGATGAATGTAGAAAAGAGCTTACAAAGATGAACATATCGGGCAATTACGCTGCAATTATAAAATTCCAAAAATCATGGTTTTAAAAACTTGACCTCCATCATGTTTCACTGCAAAAAAGACACAGATTTTATGAAGGAATTTTGGAATATCAAGGTCTGAGTGAGGCCGAAAACAACTCTTGTACCTTGAAGGATAATCGGTAGAAAAAAAATACACACAACCCTTGAAACATGCTATTAGTTGCAAAACATTTAGGTATTTGAGAATCACTTAAAAGCAGGGCTCATCAAACTACAATATTTTTTGGCACTAACTTATGTCAAAACAAAATATCCATTAAATTCGAAACCAGTACATCCCCGATTAGAGCCAAAATTCGATTGCTTGCGAGAATATGAAAGCGCGTCGGCTAATTGAAGGTATAGTCAATTTTATAAATATGGTATTATTAAATTTTCCCTCTTTTTATACTCTCCGATGGTTGAAAAAAAATTTAGCCTTACCAAGTGGGTCATGATAAAGAAGTTTGAAGAACGCCGCTTTAAAGCATTGAGCAACCCGTGTTCTGCCATATAGCTCTGTGTGAGGTTTGACACCTTTATTCAGCACCGTGGGCTGTATAGTTCGCAGCTAACATCTTCCGAATATTATGCTTGCCCCATAAAATTAAATAATATGACTGACTGTACTGGTACATTCATAAAAAGATAAAGTGTGATATTTTTAAACAAAATCTCTTTAAAGCAATTTCAATGTTAGGAAACTGGTATTATTTTTCAAAAATAAAATGTTGGAAATGCTAGAGCTTAATGCGCTGAAACTATTTGTGGCAGGTACATCCAGAACCAATTGCAAACATTTCATAGATCAAAACTACTTTCTTCTGAAACTTTTTGCGACAGGGTTTAACAACCAGGAATTCACATGGGTTACACATCCCTACTTCAAAACATATCTTATTTAATATACAAGGTGTACCAAAAAATGTTTTTTACATTGTGAATGACATTTTTTGGCCCAACCAGTATATTAAAATTATTGTGTGTTCAATAATATGGTCTTCTGGGATTATTTAATGGGTTTGGCCTAAACCGATAAGCTAACATCATTCGTTTTCTATACGCAGAAAATTCATCATCGTCTTTATTCAGACCCGCTGGTCTTTCTACACCCACCCCTCTACCATCAATCGAGGTCTGTCCTTTATTTACAGGGGCTGTTATCCCCTGCTTTGTACTACCCAGCCCTTCTCCCTCACTCCAACCCATTTTTTCAAGCATTTTAAATCCAATATTATCGCACTGTAATTTGAATTCCTTATAATCCGAAAAATCCGGCGTTCTCCCCTCTTTCAAGGCTTTGAATGTTTCCATAAATCGCTCTAGTTCTGCAGGCGGTAAGAAGTCTCCAATGAAATGTTTACTTTCTGCTTCATCTGTTAATTTTTCAGCAAGTTCTTTTGTTTTTTGCATTTCTAATCTTCTGTTTTGATGTTCCCATGTGCCTAAATCTTCGTCAATCTCTTCGTCACTGTCATATGCATGCTTGTTCTTTTTTTGACTAAGCTGTGTGGCAGCTGCAGCATTTGCTTGCGCATTTCTACTAGCCATAATAAGGTTATACATAGCTTGCATTTCACGCTGCTCATCCAGCTGTTTTCGCTGATCATCTGAAAGTTCTGAACAACCCACAAGACCAGCAGGTCGATAATTTTGGGGCACACCTAACTGTGGTGCCATGGTTGGAATTGTTACAGTCGGCATTCCAGGTAGATTAGCTATTCCTGGTGGTGCAACTTGTGCTAAATCAACTTTTTCGCCCCAACGACTCTTCTTTTTCTTTACTTTTTGTTGTGTAGAAGCACCACTACCTTGTGGTTTCGAATTTACTGCCGGTTTCATTTGCTGTGACGGCATTGACTGAACTCCCCGAAGCAATGAAGTAGTGTTTGTGAAAGTCTTTTTAGCAATCTTGGAGTCTTTTTCATCCTCTCCACTGCTGCTATCATCATTATGGAAACATGTGGAAGACTTTTTATTTGTCAGAGATGCTGCAGCTTTAGTTCGTTTCATTTGATTGAACATGCTTGTGAACCTAGATTTTTTGATCGGTGGCCCAACTATCTTTTTGGTTTCATGTTTCGGTTCTTGTTTGATATTTGAAACATCAGGTTTCTTTTCGTTTTTCTGTGAATTAAGATAGTTTTGCAAGAAATTTCCATCATTTTGAAATAAATCTTCAGTTTTTTCAGACTTCACCACAGCTTTGGCTTCAATTTCATCCGCCATTACGCCAGGAAATTTGTAGTAAACTATATCGTTCCCGTATTATAAAAAGGAAAAAATTGATTCAATAAACGAACAGATTAGATACATAACCTGATTATGGTAATATCAAATATCTAGTTAAGGCAAGTCCTACATCTTACTGCCCATTTTTAATTTGACAATTGAAATAATAATGAGGAAACTTTTTTAACCCGTTAATTTTTTCACCGTAGGTGCATTGGCATTTATTCTACACGCTAAACCTCGAATTAACTTTCTACGACCAGGGGTTAAAGCTATACAAACCACCAACGTATGACACGCTGAAGACGTATTTGAGACCGAACGACCAGTGTGCGACCACAGATTTCAAGCCTTGAACATCGTTTATGCTGCTTCGAGACTAGGGCATATGCAGCCATGCGTGAAAAATATGGGGCTTCTGATTGCATTTCTGACCGTCATATATATAACAAACACGGTTATTTCGAACAAAACTCAACAAATTATAAACGAGAATATCGGTCAGAGACCGAAGACTTATCGATCGAAAGTTAGAGGATCCCCCAAAACAGCGCTCTTACTCCATAGTGACACCTTGTGTCCAATTACTAATTAATTAATAACTCGCTAATTATATGACATAATTCATCCAAAATCAATAGGCTTCTGGTCTGACATATGATGGAAGAATGGAGAAATGGTCCGTTTTTTTTCTTCGGTCGGGTTTTCGGTCGTAACTTTTTTGTTTGTGGTCGCATTTTGGTATAATTTCGCAGAGATACGAGAGATAAGTGGACGATAACATGTGACAAATATCGATGCGGTTCGTTAATTTTTTCGTCATTAATTTAATCGATGAAGTTGATGGTCGCAAATAAGTCGTAGCCGCAAAGTGGGTAAGCCACCCTAAATCTAGAATATTGGCGACTGTAACAATTTTTGCATTCACTTCGCTGGATGATTTGCTTCGGCAGTCCGGATCTGTCCACGACATGTATTTCCCCATGGTACACATCTTGATAATAGAATAACCCCGCATGCCTGCACGCTGCACTGCACTGCACCAAAGCCTTAAAATTGAAGTCTCCTACTTCTGTACGGGTACCGGTAGCCTACCTGCTATGGTACCGGTAGCCTACCTGCTATGGTACCGTACTACAAGAGCATCTGTCATGTCTGCATGTATCAGGGTATCGTAACGGATGAATCTGAAAGCTGAGATTGAAAACTGGCCCGAATGCTGCACTGTGAAATTTTTGCACATTTCTGCACATTTCCAATGACAATTTTATTATTGTAGGGATCATCATGCCGGCACCATACATAGTTTTTTCTTCAAACCCCCCACCTACGACTCACAGCACTGGATTATGCGGTTAGGTTATAACAAATGCTATATCTTCAGATCTTGGAAAACTAAATGCAGAAATTCGTTCGATGGAAATTTTTTTCATTTTTTGTATCCTTTCGGAATACATAGGACTTCTCGATGAATGAAAGCTTCCCTGACCTTTGACCCGAGAAAAATCTATAGGCCTATCTTAAACTTTTTGTGCTTATTTTGAGGATTTTTTACGGGTTTGCTTGTCACAATCATCATTTCGATTCAAAACACCTGCTATTTAAAAATGATAATACCGTAGATACGGTAATATTGATGTAGTCAAGTCTATCGCGGTGTTTTAGGATCGTTGGAACTTGGAACTCAAATAAAATTTCTAAAATAAAAGGCAAAATGACCATTGTATTATTGGACACCGAGTGGACCTAGGGATCTTCTTGTTATTATGTTGTTAAAGTTCTTGTTTGGTTTATACCTGAAATTCGGAAGCACAACCAAAAACATACTAATAGTGCCCAAAACTATGGAATCGAGCCAATGACACGTGTGAAAAGATGCGGACGCTTACGTATGCGTCTTTTATCAGTTGTAAATTCATGTTTGTATATTTGGGCATTGGTTTGCTGTAGTCAAATCGTATGAGTGATTAGATAGCGGCTTGGTGTTTAATCTTGAAGCTTGGAAGACCGGATGGTTGAGTTCAAAGCGTCACAAGCTACTATTACTACTATAAAAATTTGCCAGCGATTCAGCTTGATCAGTCATTATTTAAATTTTAAACGTTTGTGTTTACGTTAGGAAGAATAAATATTCATAATAAATGTAAAAATTGAAAATAATTGCTTCATCCATCATCACACAATTTGTTCTGCAAAAAAAGACTTCATGAAATAGGAAAACCAATATGTTCTTTGAGGAAGGAAGCTACTTGCCAACTATATTCTTCCTCTGTGAGGCGTGTGACTGCGTTTGACATACATTATAGCATTTGGGATTCGAGTTTTAAGAGTTTAGGAGGTTATACCTGACCACCGTTTTTCGGTTTGCTCAGTGGTTTGTGTATACGAGAAGCAAACTTTCGATGAGAAGTTTTCTTTGCAAAAATTAGATTCGCTGGTCAAGGCAAAATTACATCTGACTATAGCGAAATTGCCGCATAAGTGGCACTCTTGGTACAAGCAGCTATGTCCCTATACGCTCTAACTTCAACAAAATATTATATGGTTTAATATGTTATTACAAATCATTGTCTTTTGATCAATTTCTATTTAATATTGAGGTTGTACTATTTTAATAATACTTCTTATTGTGGAATCGATGTTTGTTTGTAATTGATTTAAAGATTTGTTTCATATAGACATTCATACTTTTATTTTACACTGATACAGAGCAGGGACCAGCCGTGTTTTTTTGTACAAGACATCCAGAATTTCATAGATCATAGCAAATTTTTTTTAATTTGCTAATTGAATTAATTAAATTATTCAAAGCTGCACAATCAGTTTATTGAGCATAAAAATTTTGCGTCGTGAAAATTGTCACATAGTGTAACACGTGATGCAAGAATTTGGAAAATACCAGAACCTTCATCAGAATTCTAGGAGTATATGTGAATGTCAACGGGTATAAGTAAGCCCAGTAGTAAATAAGGATACTAAGTATGGGTACTTACAAGTATTCAATTCTTATCCGACTCCTAAATTTTCGATTCCGAATCCTCGACATAGTTTACCGAAAAAACATACCCGCTTAAACAATACTAACAAATCAAACATGTGAGCGATATTCGAATATATGGACACAAAAGCCTAAACTAAGTAGCATGTGTTTTCAATCTGTCACAGTAGACAAAATCGCACACGAAAAAAACAAATCTCTTAAAGCCCACAAAAATCTTGGGATAAATAAACGTAATACCCTTCTAGCGGAAAATTACAATTTTTAACCACTGAGAATTTCCTAGCAATTGGTGCAGTAGGTAATGATAAAAGATATGTTTTCATAACAGGAACAAAAAAATGAATTCTAACAAAAATATAATAACAAAACGACTTGAATGTCCACTTTGTGTCCAACAATTACTTCCATAGTAAAAAGTTCAATTCATCTTCCTGTAAGCTCAATCGGAATTTGGATACGGAAGACTCCTCTGAGCTAAATGCCCTTTCCGATTCAGCGGATGTTGTTGGGACACAGAGGTACTTTTGGATGACAACTGCAATGTTTGAATACGTTATTTTGTTTTGTTGCCACCATTGCAATATTTATCCCTGGGTCGCATATATGACAAGAGTTCTGTCATTCAAATATTTTTGATATCTCAGCTGAAGCGTAATGATAGGAGTAAGGAACGCAATAAATAATAGAAAATATACAGAAATGGTCCAAATGTGGCATTTGCCCTCAACTCGCGCAAACGAGTCAGAAAGAAATACAGTTAAGTTTGCGGCATAGTAGCAAATCAGTTTATACATATATGTGAAAAATTTGCCACAAAAAAATATAGCTTGTTTGCAATACAAAACAAATATCAAATTATAGACCTATTTCGATACTATCCGCTATTGACAAAGTATTCGAGCGCCTAATCAATAGAAGGTTAATGAACTTTTTTACAAAGCACAATGTAATAAATAAATCACAGTTCGGTTTTCAAAGCAATCATTCTACTTCACATGCGATTCTAGATACAATATCTCATATCTACGAAAAATTAGAGAAGAAGGAATATGTCAGTGCAACATTTTTAGATCTCAAGAAAGCTTTTGATACCGTCAATCATCAAATTTTAATATACAAGCTGTGGCATTATGGAATTAGAGGAGTACCAAACCAACTCCTGGCTAATTACTTAACCAATAGAACGCAATATGTTCAAATAGGCTCACATTGTTCCCCTTCTTTGCCTGTGACCCACGGGGTCCCCCAGGGGTCTTGTTTGGGCCCGACTCTTTTTTTTAATCTACATCAATGACCTTGCTCACAGCTCAACATTATTCTCAAAATTGTTCGCTGATGATACCAACCTTCTAGATAGTGACAAGTCCCCCGGTGTTCTTCAGTCCAGAGTGAACACTGAAATTAGGAAAGTTGCGAATTGGATGAAACTCAATAAATTAACTTTGAATGTAGACAAATCAAAAACTATGCTATTAGCTCCCCACAAATCCAAGCCAAAGACAGCTTTAAAAATTAAGATTGAAAGTACTATTCTTGAAAATGTTAGCTCATATAAATATCTCGGCATTCACATTGACAACAAAATGCAGTGGAACATTCAAATAACAAACACTGCTGTTAAATTATCTAGGGCGGTAGGAATGCTATATCGGCTTAGATCTTATACTTCAATGTCTACTTTACGCATGGTATATCACGCCTTGTTTCAGTCTTATTTGCAGTATGGTATTATAGCTTGGGGTTCCGCTAACAAAACCTTGTTAAATCGCATCGTAATTATACAAAATAGAGCTATCCGTGCCATTACTTATGCTGGTCCAAGGTCGAGACTAGACCCCCTGTACCATAAAATGCGAATAATCAAAATGGCTGATATTTATAAAATTGAGGTTTTAAAACTGATGCACCAACATCATAATAATAAACTTCCATCGGCTTTTACTGACTATTTTGTTAAACAAATGAGCGTCCACACCTATGCAACTCGTTCAGCTGCCAATAGTTCTTACTATGTGCCTCGCTATGCTACCAATCGTTCGCAAAGCACTATCAAATACATGGGTGTAAAACTATGGAACACGCTTACTGATTCGATTCGTTTGAAAAACTATAATTTTTTCAAAAAAGCTTTAAAAAATCTTTACCTTGATGCTTACATTTGTCAGTAATTTTCGAGCTGTTAGGACTGTTTCTCTGACTGCTGGACTGTCGATAAGATGAATACTGTAAAAAAAAAAATTTATTGTTAACATTTGTTTCCTTTTGCTTCATTGCTGTAATATATAGTCAATGCTAATGGCATTGTCATTATAATTATTTGTCTATGCTTAATGTTGAGTAATATAAGCATACAATTTTCGTATGGCTATTTCTTTGTTGTAAGTCCTAGCATATACTAGAACATAAGTGCTATACCGGTACCAACAAGTATATTTGCTGATTAATTCGCATTATTAAATTTGCCTCACTGCTTAAATTGTTCCTAATGTGACTTATTTCAACAAAATCTTCGATATACTTTTCGCTCTCACCCGAATATTAGTGACTTACCCAAGATTTGTAAACTACTATTGTATTTTCCTTTTGTGGTTGTTGGGAATTCCCCTCGAGTTGTCACAGCTCTGCCGCGTCATGTTATTCATCAATTTTCTTTGTTGTTCCTGTGCTCATTTGAGCATGACATTAATACGCGCAAATGATTTATCCAATTCTATTCGCTTGACTGATTCTCTCGTTTTGTTTATTTCATTTCATGTTATTCGACTGCTCGCTTTACTAATTCTCTCGTTTTGATTTGTATTTCCCAAATTGTATTCACTCTATTTTAAAAAATTAATTATTTCATGTTATTGACGTCTTCTGCTTATCTTAGCAAACACGGTGTCGCTGACACGATGACTTTATTAGTCTCTCGCGGTTCCTCGTCAATTGCGCAAATATTGTATTCCAGTATATTTTAATTGATGTTTTGTTATATATTTTGATCAATTTTGTTTGTACAATATTTCATGCACGACGAAAATAAAAATCTGAATCTGAATCTGAATCAATCCAAGTTTTAACCCTAAGAACCGATTCCAATGCACTGGAATCGATTTCACGAAGAATCGATCCTGGAATCGAATCCGGAATCGATTCCGCCACCCCTAGTAGTTAACAACACCCTTATAAATCCAGATAATTTATTTTCGTCGTGCATGAAACATGGTAAACACAAATAATAATGAATGGAGCAAAAAAAACAAAAAACAGAAAAGCAGTGTTTCGGCTGCAATTGACTATCAAGTCAGCGACACCATTATTGCTGACTTCAGCAGCAGATGACGTCAGAAAACGTCATATAATTTAACTACGTTACATACGTTCAAAGCAAAATTTGGGAAACATAAATTGAATCGAGAGAGTGAGTCAAAAGAGAAATGTCTAAATAGAAAATAGGAATGAACGCGAGAGCAGAGAGTTAGTACTTCTTGGTTACGTATATTACATGTAGAAATGTAGATTGTTTGGTGATTTATTTTAGTATTTAGTGCACCGAATACATTTCAGTACTCCCAAAGTATGTGAATCAAGATGGTGGACACCGGAACGTAGTATGTGATCCAGGTTAGGGTTAGTCCATAATTTTATTCCAATTTTCCATATTCTAGTTCTATTACGAGTTCGGGAAGAAGCCAAGTGACTACCGTAGTATTTTTTACCTGAAATTATGGCCTAACCTTAACCTGGTACACATACTTCGGGAGTACTGAAATGTGTTCGGTGCAACTAAAATAAATCACCAAACAACAGATATTATATCAGCATAAATTAATAAAGGCTAATATATTTATACAAATAAAAATTCTTCAAATATTTTTTACATATTGTATATCAACTATAAAATATATTTATTCTCAAAAACAACTTCACTCAATTTAAAATGACGAATGACAGTAAAACATCGTTCTTAAATAGCACAATGGCTATACTGAAAAATACAACTTCAGACCTTGATCTCACAAATGTTATCATCATAAGTCAAGCAGTCAATGCAATTCTCCTTACATTGTCTTCATGGATCTTTATATCAATGATATATTATGGACTGACGAATGAAAATTGGAAAAAGAATGACGGAAGGTCCAAATCCAACAGTAAACTTGCCTATAACGTTTGTATGCTTTCAATAGCTTTGCTTGTACCAAGATATGCTATTTATGCGGCAATGTTCCAACTTCCTTCAATAGAAAATGCTTTACAGTGGTGTGAGCTGATATCAGATGTTGCAATAACAATTCGGCTTCTCTGCCGATATGCGATGTATTTTTTTCTCTGGTTGCGACAGAAACTCTTGTATGCCCATCCCTCAACTCTGCAACTTGGTGGGAAATATGTAAATGCCATCAGTTGGGTAACACTGTTTGGAATTACGTTATCTTTTGTGGGAATTATTTGCAACTCTATAATTCCAACAAAGTTTATTGGATCTACTTATGGATGCATGAAACGTACGAACCGTTCTTCTTATCCTTTAGTTGGAGCTCTTCTTGGTGCAGGACTGACATTGTCACAAGTTTTATTGCTAGGATTGTTCATTTACCCCGTGATTCGAAGTGATAAAGTTCTACAGAGGCACAATCAAAGCGAAACCAAAAGAGCATCAACCAATGAAGTTCACAACCAATCGCGTTGTTTCAGTTGCATCGCTACAAAGTCCAGCAGTCCAGTGGGTCAAATCATAAAACGTTGCATAGTGGGAACAATCATCGCAATTTTGTCAGACGTCTTAGGAGGTGGTTTAAAGAGTCTGCTTCCCTACACCATCTATCCGCGCTCGGTAACAGAAACAATATTCGGCGTTAGCACGTTCATCAACGCTTACTGTGCTTTAACAACATTCAAGAGCCATTGGTCCATTCTGTTTGTGCTGTTCCAAAGAAGAAATCGGAAAAATATCAAAGAACGGCGAGAGAATCGAGTTATCTCTTCTTCGGCCGCGAGTGTAACCACTACAGTATAAGAAACGTTTAGTACAATATTGCGCTCCTATATGCAGCACAACACAGAATTTGTGAAAATATCATTTCAAGGACAAAATATAGCATGTTCATAATATACATATCCATTACGGGGAAGATTGCAAATTTTCCTGGGTCCCTTGTTTTTCAACAAAAAACCTAAAAGTTGCTAATTTTATTTTCTAGTAAATTTTATTGTTTGTTTTATATTTGGTATTGAATTAAACTTTTGCTCAACAGCAAGTGTATTTGTGGAAATTGCGAATACGTGAAAAATTGGCAGCATTTATTTTTCTAAGTAAGCCGTCCCTCCAAAAACTCGCTGATGGCTAACAAGCGCCGCCTTCTTCGCTGCGTTAAATCTAGAAAAAAAACCGACTCCACATAAATGTTAAAATGCCTGTAAAGCTCTTTTTGCAATGCCGGGGTATTCAGTTAGTGGTATTGCCCAAAAGACTGCCAAATTACCCTATAAATTGCAAAGACTCTTTCGAACTAATTATTCTTTGAGTTGTTAATCTACTAAACATGTTATTAGGACATTGTCCGTCTTTTATGCCACGTTTCTGCAGACCGGTAGTAACCTTTCCGCGGACCGGCGATGGGCCGCGGCCAGGTGGTTGCCGACCACTGCCTTAGAGCATTGATAAATGAATCTGTATCCCCTGATAAATGCTGACTTAGTAAATTGAGTAATTGGTAGTTTTAGCTTCTATAAGAGCATCAAAATCAGATTCTTTAATTTATGACAAAGCATATGCATTGGTTAGTATACTATTAGAGATATTTTGCCAACTCCCTCAAACATGCATTTAAATCAATATTGGATGGAGAATGCTGAAAAGCATTTGAGAAACGGAGAATGCTGAAACGTGTTGTGAACTCATAATACTTTATAATTTGACGACCCATCTTCCTCCATCTGGTTTCAGCATCAGTGTTGAACTACTTGAATTTCTTTCAACCTCCAGCTCTGTCCTATTTTTTTCCACCCCATCTTGCTCCCATCAGCGTTGACTACTTGAATTTCTTTCAACCTCCAGCTCTGTCCTATTCCTTCCACCCCCCGTCTCTTTTCATCTTGCTCCCATTCCATTCATTCCCCTTGTCATGATGCCCCTTGCAACTCAGCTTCTGTCTGCTGCTAACTCCTCTTTGTCCTGTGCAAGCCGGCTGCATTAACTTTCATCATCTTCATTTTCCCACATGGGATTCAACCTATTTTTATGTTTCACCGGCTTGCTCGTCGCGCCGTTTGTTGACTGCAGCTGCTGCTTGCTAACTTGCCCTTCCCAGCTTCATATGCCGTCCTCCTTTCCACCCCCGTCTCTTTTCATCTGCTTCAATCCATTCCCCTCGTCCTGTCATGCCTGCTGGCCCCCCTTGCAACTCAGCTCTGCTGCTATCCTCTCTCACTCACTATTTCTTCTGCCGCCAGCCATATCCTTGCTTTTCGGACCCTTCCTCCCTAGTCTCTTGATTTCTGCTCCCATTCCCAACTATATAAACCCCTGGGCTTTCGCGCCTCTCCGTCTCCCCTTCCTCCTTCGTCTCTTGCTCTCTACCCCCAATTCCGAATTATATACCCCTGGTTTGCCCGCTGACCTATCCCTGCAGCCCTGCCTACGCTGTTGACTGCACTCACTTGCTCTCCGAATCCATTTCCTCCTTCGTCTTTTTTTTTTATCTGCTCCCACTCCCTATCATGCCTGCTGGCTCAACTCTATAACTCAGTCTACCTTGTGGGGTTCGAACACCTGGCCTGATGTTTAACAATATCACTACGCTTCCCCTGCGCCACCGCTGCTGACGAAGATCCCGTTGATCAGAATCTTAGTTAATTAACGACGTCACGCTTGCCAGCCCACGACTAGACAAACCCCAGGAAAATTACATTGAACATACGTCGTTGATTCGAAGCATGTGTATTCATGACCTTGATATCCCGTTTTAATTTTGTGGCTCATATTACTTCGTTCACTTTTATCAAAAAAATGTGTTCATATGCAATCATAGCGATAGGATAATTCAAAGAAGTAAATCTGCAAACAAATCTTCTGACTGTGATGGAGGTATACTAAGACAAGAAGAGTTCATCAATTTGACGGTTGCTACGGCAGCCAGTAAAGATGAAACGCAGTAAATTGCGCCTAGTGCCTAGGATGTACTTTTCTAATCATTCCTAAGCCATGCGTCACATTTCCTCAGATTCTGATGAAAAATATACGCTAATCAACGCAGGTTTGAGCCATGTGGGCGTTATCACATGTGAAAGGATTCCACGGCGCAAGGTAGTTCGCGTAGCCCAAGAGTCGACAACTTGCGTTCCAGTAAAATAATCCGGCCCGCGAGCGACATACCTGATTAGTCGATTTTTGAGGAGGCAGAACCCTGAATTCTTTCACTTCCGACTTTTTGTATGGTATAGAAGGGGTTTTCGTCCGTGACACTATTGCTATTAAAACATCAAAATTGCCTTTTCGTCAGTAAACGGGTTGATTCTGACGGAAATTTCAATAAATATTAAAAAACTCGTCGAAGACCACCAAGCTCATCCATTAAAAACACTATTAACTATGATTTGTTTATTTGGTTTATTTGGTCTGTAATAATATATATACGTTTCTGATTTTACATTTTTTATAGCGCCGGGGGCGATCCAGTTGCACGCGAGCCCATTTCTTCGTCACGTCAATGAGGATTTGGAAACGAGATCATTCTCCCTCATATAAAAAGGCTCTGAATTATCTGATGAAACTAGGTGTTCGTTTATTTATTATCGTTTGCTAACATTTTAGTTCTTTAATGGCATATGGCTACAAAAAAAATATTATGACATAACAACTGAGTGAGCTCTCGACAACTTTTGTCGGGTAGAGCGCGCCATTCATTTGGCTACATTCGTACATAATATAGTTCGTCTGTGCCACACTTTTTCTTCCTTTTCTGCTTGATGTATGGGCTTGTACAGCTCATGTTGGTTATAGTTGATTTAGAAAGAAATATAAGCAATTAGGGAAAAGAATACAAGAGAGAAGTGCAGAAAACGAACTATTGCGTGATTGGGATGTCTTTCCCGAAAATATTTTGTGGCGTATCGACTTTGCAACTGCATTACTGTCCGTGCTTTATTCTACATAAGCTTGTGGATCTCTGTTCTCAGCTATGAACTTTATTGAGTCTCGTAAGTTGTAACAGAAGTAGCCTAAAACATGAAACCAGTATGTCGTGTATTTCTTTGAAATTAACAAAATATAAACCCAATGTCCAATCGGTAATGCAGCAGTGTAGATGTCCCACTGATATAGAATAAGAAAAGTAATCACATATACGGACTGATATTTTTCCATATAGTGAATCTGTCTGTACATGTTTAAAGGGGTTATTATTGTGTATTTTTGCTTTGAAAGTAGAAAAGCATTGTTCTTAATTTTGGTGGGCAAGCGAAAGAATTTTGTAAATAAATTCAGCCGATTTTGTCGCGCAAGCAGAAAAAAAGGATGCCTACCCCTGTTCTATACCTTGCACAAAATTGACTCACCCTACTAGGTTCTATGGTTGCATCCCTGGTTTCAACAGTTCAAAACTTTGGGGTTTGACGAAATCCCCTGAGTAATAAAAAGGTGTGAGAGTTGGCTAAATTGGGGCTTCCAAAACTGCAAGCCCGGCGCTTCTCTGATCTCATGCAATTTTTCAAAATAGTGAGATTTATATTTTTACTTAATGTAATGTGTTGCGACCCCAGTTTGAATAGCTCTGCGCTAAATCGAGTGTTTATCAATGTTTACCATCGGTCTGCATTTGTCTTGAGAAATTAAATATGATCTTCGGATGTAACTCGATTACATTTCTATGTATGTTATGTCCATCGCCGGATTACCCATTAAACAATATAAGCACGTGCTTAGGGCACCATGCAAACAGGAGCACCACAGACATTTTAGAGAGAGAGAGAGAGAGAGATTTATTGTTTTGTCAACCGTAAACGAACAATGGTATACAAAATAATATATACAATATACACAAAGTTAATTCGGTATAGACTGGGGGGAGCGATACGACCATAAGGTCATCGGAGTCAGCTCCCCCCAAGTTCACTATTAGGATTCACAGTTAAATGTATATAAATAAGAAATAAAATAAAAAAGATACTCATTGGAGAGTTGACCAGAACTCTTACAGAATATTTTTGAGATTAGGCTATAAGATGGTTTGATCAATGGCATTTTCAGCTTTTAGGTCTGGGGTTTGACTCCTAGTAGGTCCATTTCATAACATTTTTTTGTTTTGCATGCAATGTAGGAGACTATCTAATAAATACAATACTTATGTATTAAGCTGGTTGAATATTGTTCGTCACATCAAAAATTTCTACTGAAAGATAGAAGCCAGAACATACCAGTGGATACGGTAACTGCCTGAGGCTTGAAATAAGCGATAATTGGAGTGATATAACAGTTAATACATGTATGATTAGGGGAAGATCGAGGACCTTGAAAATTTATCATGAAGCAAATTCTCCAGTCCAGTCTCGGATGATTTCATACTTCCAGATACATTAAATTCAATTGGGCTTCAAATGACAACATGTACAAATCACTTTGCTTGAAATATACATACAGAAAAACTTGGTGCGACAAATGGCAGAAAATTTTCACTATTAAGACATGCAACGGCAAGAACAATATGATACAAAGATGGAAAACTTGATAATGTGACTATTTGATTACAATATTATATTCATAGTGCTTATAATGAAATTGCTTATTATATCATTCTTTATAAATAGTACCTTACAGTTTGCTGAACAAATAATCACTATTAATAAATAAATAAATGCCCTTTATTTCAATCCAGAGTGTATCTGTTGGCATTTATTCCTAATCTAGTAAGGATGAAGGGTACACAGAGAGAAAGAAATGAATTATATTTCGGAAGGCATACTAAAAAATGTACCTAATTACATGGAGTTCGTGATGTCCAGCGAACTGAATATTCGAAATCGGATCAAAAACGATTCGAATTGTTTTCGGCCAATATTATCTACATAAAGCGGAAATATCCTCACGACCCGATATTTCTCTAGCCTTCATATTGCGATGAAAAAGGGTGTCTCTCCTAATGCCGAGGGTATATATCATGCGTGGTCATGACTGACAAGTTATTATTGGCAGTATATGTTTAGAGAGAGTACATAAGGGAAAAAGAGCAATTTAGTATCCATAGAAGATAGTTCCATCAATGCAAA